AAAAAAAATCTCAGATTTTAGCCGGGCACTGGTGGCTCACGCCTGTAATCCTAGCTCCTCAGGAGGCTGAAATCTGAGGATCATGGTTCAAAGTCAGCTCAGGCAGGAAAGTCTGGGAGATTCCAATTAACCACCAGAAAACTGGAAGTGGCACTGTGGTTCAAAGTGATAGACCACTAGCCTTGATCAAAAATGCTGTCAGTGCCCAGGCCGAGTTCAATCCACACGATTGACAAGACCAAAAAAAAATATATATATATATAAGTAGAAGCAAATTATAGCTATGACCCTTTAATGATAACACTAAACGCTTAAGTCAGATTATTATTCTAGGTATGTTGAAGGAGCACAATGGGGCTTGTTTTGTACTGGGAAGCAAGCAATAAAAGTATGACATAAGTAACCACAGGTGGCAGTACTAGACTGATGCAGAATGACCATAAATTCAAGATCAACTTAGGCTACATAGGAAGACCCTATCTCGAAAAACTGAACAAAGCAGGAAAATAGAAGTGAAAGCAGAGTGGCAGGTGTTACTAATGTAGTTGTAATTCAGTATCAGTTATATCTTCTGTCATATTTCCTTCTAGAAAATTGCTAGATAAGACATCCTCAGAAAGCAGATTAGAGATGTAGCTAAAAGATAGACGATTTGCTTAGAAAAAAAACCCACATACACACATTTAAGTGTAGAAGGGGGCAGGGTATAGTGTTTGGTGGAATGTCCAACTATGTAGACTGCTATTGTTTCCTGGGAAAAGTGACAATGGAATTCTCAAAAAGAATTTCCTAAAAACACTCAAATTTAAGTACTTTACCCTCAAATATCTTAATATGTTCATTAAACTGGCCCATGTAACTAAAATTAATATCAAGAGATTGCTTCAGTTGACTTGGCCCCAATTATCTAAGCAATAACATCAATAGTTTACTAGTTCTGGAGTTTAAGACCCTTGATGGGTAGTAATACAGTCCACTAAAGGTTAAACTAATTTCAGTGGCTGTCCAAACCCTGGGTTCTGAGTACACAAGATGTTTCCTAAGCCTTTTGATGTCTATTACTAGAGCTCTAAACTCGCTTCAGTTCAGCATTCCACTGGCTTCTAGGGTTTGCATATTCTTATGTGTAATGTCTAGTAAGACTCTGGCATTATCTTGTGCTCCTGAGAAACTACCACTCTTCTAAGCTGCTTTGTAAGTGAACATCAAAACACCTGTAAACTTTATTTTTGCCAGCCATGGGCTTGAACTCTGGGCCTGGGCACTGTCCCGGAGCTGCTTTAAGCCACAGCGCTACCTCCAGTTTTTTGTTTGTGGTACTGAGGAATTGAGCCCAGGGCTTCATGCATGCTAGGCAAACACTACCACTAAGCCACATTTCCAGCTCAAAGCTTAACTTTAAAATTACGCCTAAAAGTTGAGTAGCATTTAAATATTAAAATTAAAGCTAAAAATAATTGGCTTCTCTGAAATTTGAAACAACTCCTTTCCCCCTATTACATTCTCATTACTACCTACAATTAACTTTTAAGTTCTTATTACTTTTCGATTAGCAAAACAAATGTTATTTATACTTTCCAGGAAGAGTGGGACTCAAGCAGCACAGCTCAGTCAGTGGCAGAGATTGTACTGAACATGAGCTTCAAGTTTAATCCAACACCATCAAAGAAACATAAAACTTCATTTGTATAGGTGTGTAGTGCTAGGAACTGCTTACCAGCGAACCACATCCCCACCCCTGTACAAAGGTTCTTAATGTGTGCAAATTATTAACATGGCCTTTTCCCTCAACCAGGTCAGATTCAGAGCCAGCACTTCAAATCAGTTTACAAACCTGTTCCCATTGCAGCATTTGAAAAATACATTTTGTCGAGAGCACTGCAAGCTGTGAATGAAGTTACTCTCTTGATGGAAACACATGGCTCAGGAATTTTGTGGTCAGCAGTTTAAATTGTTCATTTACTATTTTAATAATTACTCCAAGAAACTATTTTTTGTAAGAGTTGTTTTAACATACTTGCTTACACTTACACGAGTTGTACAGACAACAAAACTAAATCTGGAAGTGCTTGTTCACATTTTCTCTGAAACCATTTACTTGAATATTGAAAGCAACAGTTTTAAATTATGAACTAAAAACAGGTCATTTTCAATGTATGTGCTCTCATATAATACATCAAAATACAAGTACTTATCTTAAGCAGTCACACAAGTCTAAGCCACATTTATTTGCACATGTATAGTAATGGGCAACAAATACTCCATACAAATTTATAAAACAACAAAGTTATCACCAGGTACACTTAGCGTGTTATCTTGCTTACATAGTCAAGTCTAGATGAACTTCCTTCATTTTGTAAACTTCCATACAATGGTTCCTTGAACAAAACTTCTCTAAAACACATATTGGCATATTTAAGTTAGAGCCAACACAAATGTTAAGACAAGACCACAAATTCGAAATCCAAGTTTAGAAGATTCTTTTACCTCCCTCCCTTAGAAAGAACTATTAGTTTAACAGATCGCATATACTGTTAGCACAGAGGTAACCACAAAGACAGAAGAATGATGCTCCCATAATCAGGAAAATGACAACCAAAATGTGCTAGTTTACGTTATCTACCAACTATACGGTCTGAACAAAAAATAGGAAAACGCTTAGATTAACAAGGGAGATCAGAAAATAGTAAATGATTATAAAGAGAACTATTCCCCTTCAAAGCTGCAAAGACCTGACAGCTAAGGCCAAGTAAGTGAGGAAATCTTCAAAAACATTCTAATCTTATTATCTAGTGATAAAAACTGAAAATGATATCAAGAGGTTATTTATTATACAAGCGTCAACAAGGACATCTCAAATATAATGAAATGAACATTTATTTCTACAAAAGTAATGTATGATACAGAATTAGAAGGGAAAAGACTTAAAAGATTTACCTATTAAAATATACAGATTCTTACTGAAGCATATAGGATATTTAAAAAAGATGACAAGGGATGTTAATCTTTTTATTATTATTATTTTTACATATTTTGGAACCTCACATAATTTTGATAAATAACTCTTACAAAATTATGCAAAAAGTACAAGAATGTCTGGTAAACAAACAGTCTGTATTTTCCAAAAAGATTTTTTACAACATGCAATTCTTAAGGCAGCATCCTCCTTACAAGGAAAGGTAATCCTTTAACTCATCAAGAAATCTTCTGCTGCAAAGAATAGGCTAAGAAAGGCTGGCTTCTTCCATTAACGCCTTTTGTCTTTCCTGTCTGATTTTCGGTCTCTCTCACTTCTTGAAGATCGTTTGCCCGATCGACTACTCTCTGATATAGACCTCTTTCTGTCAGACCGGGAATTCTTATCCTTCGATCCTTTTGTATCTCTACTACTACCACCTTTTGAAGATTTGTGACTTCTTTCTAATCCTGATGTATCCCTTCGCTTCCGATCCATGCTCCTTCTGTGCTTTCTGTCTCTATTGTGTCCCCGACCCCTACTTCGACTTCTACTCTCACTACTACTAGTAGTGCTGCTGCTACTATCTCTGCTACTACTACCACTTGTACTGGAACTACTACTAGAACTGCTTCGACTACTACTGCTGCCACTGCTAGAACTGCTTCCGCTGCTGCTACTGGTTGAACTGCTACTAGAACTACTGCTGCTACTGCTTCGACTTCTACTCTTGCTTGTTTTATTTCTAACTCGACCTCTACTTCTACTCCTGGTTTTGGTTTTACTTTTGCTTTCTGAGTGCACTGTTAAAATTGGTTCCACTACTGGCACCTCAGTGAGCTTTACAGGCTCAACAGGAAACTCTTTCCTCTCAGGTAGTTGATTCTCTTGTTCCTGAATAACCTGAGGTGGTGCCTGTGAAATAGCTAATGTCAAAGTCTCAGGTTGAGAGAGAGGCTGGGGCTGATGTACTTGCTGGGGCTGAGACTGAGGCTGGGGTGGAAGGAGGGACTGAGGCTGAGCCACAGGCTCAGGTTGGGGTTCAGATTCTTTTTCTTCTTTTTCCTCTGATTCTTTTTCCACTTCTACAACACTAACATTCTCTTTTGGAGGAGAAAGAGATTTACATTCTTTATCTGGCTCAACTTCAAATTCCATCTCTGGCTCCAATTCTTTGCTAGTTTCATTTTCTGAAGGTTCTATACTTTCAACTTGATTAGTTTCCATCACTTCCTGCTCAGCAATTACATTCTGGACATTCTCAACCATCTCTAGCACATCCATAACTTCCTCAGGCTGACTATCCTGTTGTTTCTCACTTTCCCTTGCCTCTGTTTCCTCCTCCATCTTAACCTCCATTTCCTGTTTTTGCTCCTCCTCCTCCTGTTCTTTCTCTGCATCACTATGCACTATACCTACTTCCTTTTCCTCTTCTTCTCCTGCCTCCTCTATTTCTACATCATTGTGCTGATTACCTGTCTCCTCCAACTCTTCCTCTCGCTGAGCCACCTTACCCTCTTCTTGTTCCGCCTTCTGTTCTTCATTACGCACCACCTGATGCTCTTTTTCCTTCATTGTCTGTCTTCTAGGCCTAGCCTCCATCTTATTTATTTGTTCTGCAAATTCGAGGCGTCTACCTTCAAATAAAGCTAAACAATAAAAATTATGTGTAAAACTTAGTTTTATACCAGTCATAAATGGTCATTAAGCTTCATATAAATCTTTTTGAATAAAGAAAATATTGATTATAACAAGTAAGTAATTACAAACTGACAGCAAAGATCCAAGGGAAGTCTATATATCAAAAAAAATTAGTAACAAGAAAATCTAGACCACATCCACTAAAATCAAACATTTGCTACTTAAAAAACTTCTTTAGGATGGGCACTGGTAGCTCACACCTGTAATCCTAGCTACTCAGGAGGTTGAAATCTGAGGATCACGGTTCAAAGGCAGCTTAGGTAGCAAAGTCTGTGAGACTTTATCTCCAACTGACCACAAGAAATGGAAGTGGTGCTGTGGCTTAAAGTGGGGCAGGGGGTGGTGAGGCTGCCAGCCTTGAGCAAAAGAAGTCAGAGAGTGCCCAAGCCCTGAGTTCTAGTCCCATGACCCGATAAAAACAAAACAACGAAACAGAACCAGTATTAGAGGACTCTAAATACATTATCTAGCCAGCATCTTAGCAATGTATATCCCTCTAAATGTTCACCTTTTATGAACTATAACAATGTTCATTTTTGTCTTATTTCACTGAGAGCAGTTTATGTGCCAACGAAGACTACTATGCAAAATTATCTTATATAAATACATATGCTTAAGAATCACCAACAAAACGAGATTCAGTTTAAACTCCACCATGAAGCTATATCTATACTCCGACCTATTACCTCAAAATATCTTAAGAAACACCCACCCAAAATGAACTATTAAATCACATTATTTTAGAAAACAATAATGTGAAAGTGTACTATCTTATCCATTAAGATAACTTCAATAGGGGCTGGAAGGTGGCTCAGTGGTAGAGTGCTTGCCTTGCATGCCTGAGGCCCTGGGTTCGATTCCTCAGCACCACATAAGCAAAAAGAAAAAAAAGCCGGAAGTG